ATGCACGTATCGCAAGATTCGATGTAATGGCTACTATAGCACTGTTTGGAAAACTTTTTTACAAAATTTTTCAAGATTTCCCGTCACATCGAATATTTAGACGCATAAAGTATTAAATATAAATAAAAAATAAAACTAATTACACAGTTTAGACGAAATTCACTATACGAATCTTTTAAGCCTAATTAGACTATTATTAGACACTAATTATCAAATAACAACTAAAGTGCTACAGTGCTATTTTCAAAAAAATTCGTCCACTAAGGGCGTGTTTAGTTCCGAAAATTTTTGGCTTTTGTCTACTGTAGTATTTTCGTTTGTTTTTGGAAAAAATTGTCCAATTATGGATTATTTAGGCTTAAAAGATTCGTCTCACGATTTCTCGGCCAACTATGTAATTAGTTTTTTTTTTGTCTACATTTAGTACTCCATATATGTGCCGTAAGATTTGATGTAACGAATACTGCGTAAATTTTTTTGAATTTTGTGTGAAACTAAACGGGGCCTAAAGAAGGCCAGGTCGAGAGCGCCGCGTGCACACCCCAGGTACGGTAGCAATCACCTCTCGCTAGTCCTCAGATTAGTTGGTGAAATTTTATAGGAAATGATACCGTAGTACTTTCGTTGTTATTTGATAATTAATGTTCAATCATAGTTTAATTAGGTTTAAAAAATTCATCTTGTGAATTTGGTCTAAACTATGTAATTAGTTTTATTTTTTATTTATATTTAATACTTTGCGTTAAAGATTCGATATGACGAGAAATCTTGAAAAATTTTGCAAAATTTTAGGAAACATTAAACGTGGCCTTTGGCAAAAAGGCATCCTGCCGCATAGCTGCTGGCCTGCTTCTGACGTCTGCCACTCTGTCCTGCCCTCGTGGGAGCCTGCGAGCATGCAACGACGAAAACCGAGCCCTGCGTTCCCGGTTTGCCCAGGAAAAGCAAAGCAGTACTCTCTGGTCTCTCTGTTCTTTCTTTAATTTTCATTGCAGTACTCCGCCTAATAAAGTTGTACTTATCCAGTGATCGCTCGTCGATTGAGTAGTACTCGTCATGTTTTGTTTTGTGGTATCGTCTCCCGTGTCTGGATGCATGGCATTTCGACTTCAAAATTTGAATCCTGTTCTCGTTGTTCGTAAACGTATGCTGCACTTGGGGTGCTGTTTTACACTTTTACTGCGTTCTTATATCAAATCTTTTCTGCCTGCTCAGCCTCCTGCTGTTCTGCTATGATGCTCAATTGAAATGCTGATTAAGCCCCCTCGAGAGCGTGCTGACAGTTCGGAAAGAAAAAAAAAAGCGTGCAGAACTCGACATATCCGCATATATTACCACCAATTTGTCGCTGGACGGTTCATCGCTCTACTCATGGCCTCACCTCTCTTTGGAGCGCTCGTGGGCAGTCGAATCGGTAACCAGCCCTGTTTGCTTGAACTTATTGGTCATGGATAATGTTTTTCCTTCACAGCAAATCCGTGAACGGTACTTCTCGGCGTAAAGAACAGGGCCGTAGCCTGCATACCACGACTCGTGTGCACATACATGGCATTTACACACACAAAGCTAAAGCACAGTGTAATCTAAATACATGGCGAGAAAAAAATATGCACTATTATGATTCTCGGTGAGTCATGTAATTTTAACTTTAACCAAATATATATAAAAAAATAAATACCCTAAAAAATTTAACTCTTATATACTCCTTATAAAAAGTCAAACAGTTTTAACTCTCCTTTATAAAAAGATAATAATATTTTTTGTATTAAATAAGCATCATTGATTGATCATTAAATATATTTTCGTAGTAAATGTATACAAAGACATAAGAATGAGTACTTTTTTTTCTATGAAATAGGTCCGACCTAAGAAAGATTGACTAGTCTCAAATTTAGAGTTACATTCTTTTTTGAAAGTATATAGAGTAAATATTTATGACACATAATAAGCATCATCAAATTAGTTATGGAATATATTTTTCTATGATCGACTATTTAAAGATATAAACATTAATACCATTTTTATAAATCTATTCAAATCTGGAATGACTTATTGATAAACGGAGGTTTTACTATAAAAACCCTTTAACGAATAGTATCTGTGGCAGACTGACGGTGTTACTTAACGCGCTTATTAATCGAAGAGCATTGAGCTGTAAAACCGCTTTATTAGTACAGTATATATTCGTTCACAACGTCGACGAGGAGGGAGCCGAAAGGAAAAAGTCTACTTAACCCTCCACCTTTCATATATGGTCTACTTTACCCTCCAACTATGAAATCGTCTGTTTTACCCCTAAACTTTCCAAAACCGTCTATTTTACCCTTCCGGACGGTTTTTGACAGCGGTTCGCTATAGTAACAGCGGGTTTGCTACAGTAACGGTGGTTTGCTACAGCAATTGTGGTTTTGAATTTTCTTTTTTTTTAATTTATTTTCGGTGAATTTTTGAAAAAAATCGTAGTAAAATCATAAAATGAAAAATCTAATTTTATTGGACTCCACATGAGTAGATCTACACAGTGAATATATAATACGCTATGTTTTAGTACAAATTTTTTTTAGCTTTAGATTAATTGGAAAATCCAATTTTTTCTGTAATTAATTAGAATTTATTTATAACTAAGTTATACATAGTCCAATGAGTACGAAATTTTTACTATAGTTCAAGCATACAATAATTAGTGTACCATAAAAATTTCACCACAATTGGACCATAAAAGCTGCAACTATGAATTATTCTAATTAATTACAGACAAAATTAGATTTTCCAATTAATCTAAGGCTACAGTAAAAATTTTGTACTAAAGCATACCGTATTATATATTCACTATATAGATCTACTCATGTGGAGTTCAACAAAATTAGATTTTTTATTTTATGATTTTCTATGATTTACTGTGATTTTTCAAAGATTCACCGAAAAAAAAATTCAAACCCACCATTACTGTCAAAAATCCAAACAGCTGTCAAAAACCGTTCGGGGGGATAAAATAAACGGTTTTAGAAAGTTTAGTGTAAAACAGACGGTTTTATAGTTGGGGATGAAGTAGATTATATATGAAAGATTTGGGGTCAAGTAGACTTTTTTCGAGCCGAAATGGCATGGCAAGTTGGCAGTCGTGCGACGGGACAGCTCCGTAGACTGTAGCACGTGAGCTTTGCTTTTCCTGGGGAAGCTGGGAACGCAGGGCTGTCCGACCGACCGACCGACGCGGCGGGACAGCTCCGTAGACCGATGCCCACTGTGGACAGTGGACGCGACGCCACGCGACGCTGTGTGTTTTTGCTGTTAGCTGATTGATTTTCAGCCAGCCCAAATCAGTTAATCAATAATATTTTTTTCTAAAAAAATCAGCACCAGCCAGTTAAAATCAGCACCAACACTAACTAACGAACAGGTCCAATGCAGCGTTCTACTCGTACAAGATGTGCTAGCCCATCAGGTCGCATTGATCCTAGTGGCCCCTCTCTGTTGTTCTCTGCCGCGCACGTGATGGATGGCGCGACGGCGCCGTGCAAAGATCGGTGGCGCGGCAGATCCTGCCACGTCACCGGTCAGCGTCCTAATCGTCGCCACGTCAGCCTTCTCGCCGCGCCATCATGCATGGCGCGACATAGATATTTCGTCGTGCCATGGTAATAGGCGCGGTAAAAAAATGTTAGATTTGAAAATAAAAAACAGACAGTGTTAGATTTAAAATTAATTTATAAAAAAATGTTAAAATTAAAAAAATATTCTATACAGACAGGCACCCATCTTTTGGGGACCCATTCTGCCCAGGTATACCCACTCTACTAAGACATGTAGATAGATAGCAAAACATACACACTCCAAGGCCTTGTTTAGATTGTAAGTTTTTTCACTCTCTCTCCATCATATCAAATCTTTGGACACATGTATAAAGTATTAAATGTAGATAAAAAAATAACTAATTACACAGTTTGATTGTAAATTACGAGACGAATCTTTTGAGCCTAGTTAGATCATGATTGAATAATAATTATCAAATACAAACAAAAATACTATAATAATAAATACTGATTCTAACACCAACCTAAACAAGGCCAACAAGGCCAACTCCGTTGGTCCAAGTTTGGTTTGGTTCTTGACGACGACAGACACAACGCAGTACACTGACAGGCTCACAGCTTGTTTGAGGGGGGGCCCTCCAAGTACGAGGTCCTTACTTCCATCCAGGGTAGGGAAAAACAAAACTAGCAGCAGCTTGCGCTTAAATAAACAACATTGCCAATCACCATCCACAAAACATACAAGGATAATTGATATTTACTAGAAGCTCACAAGGCAACCACCTCCCCAACAGCTCAGATGCCTTCCTTCTCGCATAGGGCCATGTTTAGATTGTAATTTTTTGCAACCTGGACACTGTAGCACGTTTCGTTTGTATTTGACAAACTTTGTCCGATCATAGACTAACTATGCTTAAAAGATTCGTCTCGTGATTTACAACCAAACTGTGCAATTAGTTATTTTTTTACCTACATTTAATGCTCCATACATGCGTCCAAAAATTGATGTGATGGAAAAAGTGAAAAAACTTGGAACTTTGATGTCATCTAAACAAGGCCTAGGTCTAGCAGCGACAAGGTCTGCAAATTTAAATTTCATGAGAATGATTGACATGACAACTGGACAACAACATTATGAGGCTGTGTTTAGTTCTATGAATTTGGATTTTGGAGCTACTGTAGCACGTTCGTTTTTATTTGGCAAATAGTGTTCAAACATGGACTAATTAGGCTCAAAACGTTCGTCTCGTAATTTCCCACCAAACTGTGCAATTAGTTTTTCTTTTCGTCTACATTTAATACTCCATGCACGGGCCGCAAACATTCGATGTGACAGATACTGTAGCAACTTTTTGGAATTTGACCTCCAACTAAACACGGCGTGAGATGATGCATAACGAAAATAAAATAGTCTGGCCCAAATCTAAAAGTAAATTCCATGCCCATAAGTTCTATAATACCAGCATATCAATGGCACAAGGGTATTGACATGCTTCTTTGAAGGAGGGTTAGCTGAAAACATCATCCATTTTATGCTCAATATCAGACAAACGATGCAAATGACATATGCATGGAATTGCGCAGGAGACATCGAGAAAGTCACAATTATGCTTTTAAACAAGAGAATGTTGTGCTTCGTGCAGAACAAAGTGTATCCCCGTGCATAGCAACGCTAATAAAGTTTCATTATACAAGGGAGCTTTCATTGTATATTCATGTGCACAGCAGACTGGATATGCTATATACCTCCGCGATGGAGAGCTCAAGGCGAAACTTTGGGCCATCATAATGGTGCAAAACTGGCCTGAAGGAATCCTCTTCCAACGGCTTGCAAAGCTTCCTAATGCGGATCCTCACCTAACAAGATGAAGGTGTCAGAGCAAAAAAACAATCAAAAGGAAATGAGAAATGACCATGATGACAAATGTTATCAGTACCTGCGCTGGGAATCTAGATTCACCTTTACACTTCTTATCCTCCCATGCAGTGGGATAGATATTAGACCCACCGAAACTGGCAGCCTAAGCAAATTCGTTTGAAAAAACAAAAGATAAAAGTTTCTTAGATTTATACTGAACCGTGGTTGGAATTTAAAACTTCAATATAAAAATACAAATGCGTGGAATCAAAGTAAGACTAAGACATTTTGTTTACTGAAACCAACTAAAATGATGAAACAGTGATCTAACAGAAATGGGTAGCAACAAACAGTATAGATCTAGACGTATACGGAGCACACCTACACCGAACTACAAAATAATGTCAACAATTTTTACCAGTACACCAACAGTGCGCAAAACAATACAAGGGATTGAATACAAGCTAAAACCTGACCATTAAAAGACTGCAAGTCATCCACCTAAAATGTAATCAAATCATGCCTCTTCGATGCATTTGCTGTAGTAGCTGGATGCTTCTTTTTAAATATCAACAAACCAACGGTAAGAAGTTACATATAACTATACAAGGACACAAGGGAACGAAAGATCAAGTCAAGCTTAAAATAGTCTATCTAGAATGGTAATAATGGACACATTTTTTAGTTCAAAGTATCATATACATGGCAAGTGTTCAACAACTTCAGAGAGGCTTTGCAGGAATCAGGAAATCAGATAATCACACACCTCAAATACCCCATGAAGCTGGTGAGTCGTATAGTTAATTAGTTATAGAGGAAAAGAGGCAGGCCAGGAGTAATTGCTCGGACTGAATCACGATATCTTGCTGGCAATCCTGCAGAAGAGCAACAGATCTTAAGATAAAAAGGCGTACCGGTGTGTAGAGAGCTTCCGCCGCCTCATGCGAAGTCTGCAGGGAAGGTGTCGGTGGCAAGTCTTACCTCGCCTGTGCAATGCGAGGAGACCGCGACTCGAACCCGGGACCTTCCGGTCACAGGCGGTAAGACTCTACCGCTTGCAACAGATCTTAAGATACCATTATCCAATTAGTATATACACTGGTATCGAAACTATTTTCAAGAACAGTCATCATTTGATTTCTCAAGAGATACAAGAACATACAACACATACCAAAAAGCTGCCTCTTGAGATCCTCCTGCATGGTATCGTTGTTGCAGACAAAGATGTATCCACCAAGGACTTCATTCCTCGGTAGCATTTCACTTGTTGGCAATGTCTTGAAGCGCTTGTCAACCGTAGAATTACCGTTGGCGCTCCCATTGCTGTTTCCTCCATTATTGTTGCTGCTGCCATTGTTTTTCCCATTGGTGTCTTTCCCGTTAGGGCTATTGGAGTACTTGTTCACCCCAACATTCATCTCGAACGCATTGACATTGACATTGACATTGGCATTGCTCCCCTTGGGTTACATTGGGTTCATGTTATAGGGCATGTTGCAGAAGGGGAGCTTCATGGCGGTGGCGGCCTCGTTCATCTTGAGATCCAGGTTCATGAGGCCGAGGTTGATGTGGTCCATCCTGCTGTCGTCGTGATGCTAGTAGGACGTCTTGTCCCACTGCTTGGCGTCAGGGACGGTGTTCATCCTTGTGTAGTCGAGGTCGTCCATCCTCTCGGCCTTGGACCCGGTGACACTAAGCCAGATTCTAACATTAGCAACGGGGCATTTTTACTGTAGGGACGGCTGGGGTTGAGGGCGCCTCTACAGTAAGCGTCCTCGGGCCCCATCAGCCCAGCCGTCCCTATAGATAGCACTGTAGGGGCGGTTGGTAACCTGAGCCGCCCCTACAGTTGGGGCTGATATGTAGGGGCGGCTCAATCACCAGCCGCCCCTGCAGTGCCCATTTGTAGGGGCGGCTGCCACTAGCCGCCCCTGCTGTTCGACTGTAGGGGCGGCTGAATCACCAGCCGCCCCTACTGATGGTGCACGAATAAATAGCAGCCAAAATTTGAAAGGTTCAAATTTAGTCAAATGATAAGATAACCAAAATAAAAGTTGTAGATCTTGATGAGTTGAACAACTTTTGTATTGATCACTTTTACATCTGGAATCATTTGGGTTTGAAAATTTTGTTTGAACTTGTCAAATTTTAAATTTTAAATTTTAAAATGTGTAAAATATTAACGCATCCAAGTTTGATCAAACTTAAATGCTGAAACAAGATTTTAGATTTTTTTTTTAAAAAAAACCATCACATTTGGAGTTAGTATGAGGGAGAACAACTAGTTACAAAGTTTACCCACAGATTAAAAAAAATCACACTGTTCTAGATGATCCTTACATGATCATAGTGAACAGTGTGATTTCTTTTTTTAATCTGTTGGTCAACTTTATAACTAGTTTTTCTTCCTCATACTAACTCCAAATCTGATGATTATTTTTCTAAATTTTTCTAAAATCATTATCTATTAATTTATTTTGTTGGTTTTATCAATATATACATATGAAAAGTTTGAGCAATTTAAATTTTAAATTTAAAAAAAATGCAACTTCAGACAAGATTTTGGTACCCCAAATAATTTCAGCTGAAAAGTGATAAATATCAAAGTTGAATAACTTTTCAAGATCTACAACTTTTGTATTGGTCATTTCTTCATATGACAAAGTGGTACTGACATTGTTCACAAATGAGACACATCTTTTATAAGGTTTTATAAACTATATGAGACAAGTGTAAGGTTAGTGAACAATGTGTGTTAAGAATTTGTCAAAAGAAGAAATGACTAAAATAAAAGTTGAATATATTCATGAGTTGAACAACTTTGGTATTCATCACTTTTTATATTGAAATCAATTTGGGTCTCAAATTTTGGTTCGAACTTGTCGTTTTTCAAAATTTTAAATTTGAAAGGTTTAAATTTTGTCAAATGATAAGATGACTAAAATAAAAGTTGTAGATATTAATGAGTTGAACAACTTTGGTATTCATCACATTTTATGTTGAAATCATTTTGGGTCTCAAATTTTGGTTCGAACTTGTCATTTTTTAAAATTTCAAATTTGAAAGGTTGAAATTTTGTCAAATGACAAGATGACCAAAATAAAAGTTATAGATCTTCATGACATCTACAAGTTTAATGTTTATCAAATTTTCATTTGAGATCATTTGGTGTCTCAAAATTATTTTAGTAGTTTTGATTTTAATTTTTTAAAATTTAATTTTTTTCCATTTTTAAAGGTTCAATTTTGCAATCTTAAACTGTTGTAGTTGTTTTAGTTGTTGTATATGTAAATATATCTATAAAAAAAAATAATTATAAAATTTTGTACTATATTATTTATTATTTACATGTGAATAATTCATGTTTTCGCAACAAAATATGCAAAACTCTCGGAGATTCTAACAAAATCTCCCCAACGCCGCTGCCTCCCACGCCCGTCGCGGCCACCTCGGCACCCAGTCTTCGCCCGCCCCTCCGTCCGCTGCGGTCGCCTCCTCCGCCCGCGCCCCGCCCGGCGCAGCCGCCCTCCTCCCTCCGTGCCGTGGCCAACTCCTCCATCTCCGTCGTGCCCACCGCGGCCAGCTCCTCCGCCCGCGCCCCGCCCGTCGACACCCCGTCCGTTCGCGAGCGCATCTCCGAGCCCAGTTTGCCCTCCCCAACCTAGATTCATCCAGCGCCGACGGCGTCCCCACGCACCGTACCTACTTGGTGCCGCCCCAACAGGCCATGGTCCTCACCACCACCTACGGCTCCACAGCGGGGTCTGGGCCAGGGCTGTCGGATTTGGGACCGTGCCATCGTCTTCTTCCTCGTGGTGGGTCAGAGCAGGCGGATCCCGCGGACGCCCCTTTCCACCGGCAGCGTCGACGGTCATTCTCGTGTCGAATCGAGGTATTTTTTGGTGAGATCCGTGGACCCTAGCGCGCTCCTTGGTTACCGGTCCTGTTTGTTTTGGACCGCGACAGGGGGAATTGCTACCTGTGGAAATGGGAATCCACATCCCCTGTGTGGGAAATGAGAGAGATTGTGATTGGTGGGGTTTCTCAGTTCTTAGATTTTTGGATGAGTATCCTTTTTGCGGTTCCAGGTTGCTTTTGGACTTCAGCAATTGTTCGTGTCGCACTAGTGCTGGGTGACCTAGAGTGACCAGTGATGTTGTTGCATTGAATCGTGGGGTGCTGCCTGTGCTTGATGTGGGTTGCAAAAGTAAGTTTCTACGTTCTGCTTTGTGTGGCGATTTGCCATTTTTGTCTAGAATCATGTCAAGCTTAGATTTCACATTCAATTGCCTTTCTCATTGGTGCAAGAACAGGGTGCTAATCCTATCACTATGTACACTAATTGTTCCTTGCTCATTTATGGCTGGAGCTATTAGCAGACCGTATTACTAATGAAAGCTATATGTTTTAGAGATATTGGATCTGTCATTTCATCCAATCCGAGCAGGATAGCAATTGCAGAAAGTAATTTTCTTTAAACTATTCATGTTTTGCTTTCGGATGCAGTGTAATTATTCGATGGTATTCCACTAAGAAGGCCTAGATTCAGTCATGTCTGCATCTTGGATGTATGATCCGTAGAATTGAGTCTCTTGCTTTGCCTTTAATTGATTCTTTAGAATTGAATACTCATGTAAATATCTATTTGTTGAAATAGAGATTGTGTGCCACTGCTAAATATTTTAGTCACCTTGATGCAGTTTTGTGTAAGATTAAAAGAAAAACGATAGTCGCATACAAAGGGTTTTACTCAACTAACTTATTTCGCTTTTGTATGAACTCTGAACTTGTAGGTTTCACCCTACCTGAACATGAATACCTGATCATATGCTTGTCAGAAGTTAATTACCTCTAAATTTGTGGTACCATGATCCATTGTAAGAACCAGAACATTAGTGTGTTTTTATACTGAACTCCAATTTATGAGATTCATCATATATTTTATTTTTTAAATACTCATTCTAGCCCAAACTAAATATTTGTATACTCAATACATATGCTACTGTAAGTGTACCCATACCTAGTATTATATTGCTACAAATTTATGCATATTTATGTATTTGTTGGTCCATCTTATGATGCTTAGGTTAGCTTCTTAAATTTGTATATGACAAATATATCATAGAAGTAGGACGCATATGACAAGGCTAACTGGACCTCGACCAATATATATAGTGATAGTGATCATGCTAATGTTCTAAGTGAGAATAATTTATCCCTTATTCTAAAATATGTGACACTGCAGGCAGCGGCCGTGTTCCTGTGTTGAGTGTTACCATGCGAGTGGAGCTGCTAGTGGCAAGAGTGAGTCTGCTAGTGGCGAGCAGCAGGTGTTGATGTTCTGACTTCCAGGGAAGAAGCAAGCAAGCTTGAGGCTTCAAGTACTAGGTATAAAAATACATTTTCCTCGTTTTCTGTAATTAGCTCTTGTGTTGATGGTTTTATGCCGTCTTAGATTAAGGTAGTTAATGGAGTAATGACATATTATCATTAGTCAAGAACTTTGTGTTACTTGGCAACTCTGATTTTGCACTTTGGTTGACAACAAAATGCCCAAGTTACTTTAGTTATGCTTGGTCTTTTTGTATATTGAGCAGCTCTTTAATGTATGGTTACAGTTGCATTGCTATTAGCTAATAGACTAGTATTCCTAGTTACAGTTGCACTGATTGTTAAACTTGCATGGATTCAGTTCGTGAATTGATTTTTAACCTTGCAGCTTTAATTATTTGGATCAGTACATGCTTATAATGTAAGTATAGTATTATTGCCATCAGAACGGGTGGCTTTCTTGTTTCTAATGCATTGTTGCTTTGCTTATAATTTGCACAGAAATATCCTGATAACCTCAAGCGGAAGAAACGGTTTGTTATGCCTTGTGTATGATGAATTTAGGCAGCATGGTGTAGTAGCACTACTAATTCCTTTGTGTATTTCATGGGTTTTCCTCACATATAAATTAAGACAAGAATTCTTATGCATAGTAGTTACTGTAATACAGTACAATTCTTCTGTTCCACCGAATGGTGGTTTAATATTTACTGTAATACAGTACAATGGTTATGTCCCAGCCTCCCTCTTTGATCCGCTCTCCCAACTTCAAATCAGTTTTGCTCCTTCTGGATGATATGCAAATTATTGGCTAGTTAGGTTCTACACATGCTGTAAAGCATTGGTTCAACTGAAAATTGCTAGAAGACCATGAATATCAAATTATGTAGTTGTGCTGAAGACCAAAAGGAATGGGCCGAAAACTCTAATTGCTAGAAATATTGCCACTGAAGAAGTGTTTGGTTTAGAAATTTTAATTGTAGTGCTGAGATGGTTCATTGAACATATTGATATCCCCTAATATTTTCTAGAAAAATGCTTTTTGTTTCACAGTATGGATTATCTGCTAAAGAAATAGCGAGAATAGTAGATGCATTTCCTAACCAGTAATAAGTGTATATATTTCTTTTGGGCTGTTTACAGTTAATTAAAAACTTTCTACTCTTTCGTCGGGCCACTTAGAAAATAATTTAAGCATTTATCAATGGAATAGTTTTGCAGCAAACATGTATTGCATGATAATTTTTACAATCAGCTGAAGTGGTTCTAGAACTCGGCAAATTCAATTAATATCTCTTATTGAGTTCAGAAAGCAGCAAATATTAATGCACATCAAAGTGAGCAGGTGCAGTACCTTACCATGCATTTTCTCTAGTGCTAAGATGCATATGCATAGCTTTGAAGCTTGTGTTTTTTTTCAAATAGTTTTAATTTAGGACTGGCCATTTAATTGTGCATATGTGGCTCAGAAATTTTGGTATTTAGCCCAAAAATCAGTAACTGACCAACATGCATTGCATGATAATTTTTACAATTAACTGCATCCTTGTAGGTTACTGAGTCATCCCATGCTGAAAATAAAGCTTTTGGTTCTCATAATAGAGATTGGCAAGTTGGCAACTAAGGCAATGGCAGCAACATTAATCTGGAATGAAAAGGTAAAGCGTACAGTTAACCTCTTTTGTGTAGTTAGTATTATGTTCCTCTGGACTCAATATAGCTAGGAGATAGACTCGTGTAATATGTGAACACATAGTATAGGAGGATGTCATGTTGTCGAATTCCCAATGCCGGGACCAGCTAATATGTACAGATCAAGCACAAACATTTGTATTTGTGGCGATCAGATTCGAATTTAAATTATATATATATATATGGTCAGATTTGAATTTGAATTATTTATTTTTTCTACTGAAAAATCCACTGTAGGGGCGGTTCTTGATTGAACCGCCCTTACAAATACACACAGCAGGGGCGGCTGGTGATACAACCGCCCTTATAGAAGTCCACTACAGGGGCGGCTGATATTACCAGCCACCCCTACAGAAGGCACTGAAGGAGCGGCTGAAAACACCAGCCGCCCCTACAGAGGACACTACAGGGGCGGTCAGAAAACCGCCCCTACAGAGACACCCTCTGTAGGAACACCCTAAGAAGGGTGGCTGACGCAGCCACCCCTACAGAGGCTCTAGAGCCACCCCTACAGTTAACTTCTATAGCAGTGTGATCTCCGCCAGCTTGACGTCATGAGAGGTACATTGTACAGTCAGTACAGCAATGCCCTTTTTTTTCCATCGTGAGCGAGAGAACTACAGAACCCTGGCTGACCAGAGCAATCAAGATGTCCGCCGGTAAGGATACCAATCTTGGTTTGGCCCATGTTTAGTTCGTCCAATTTAGCGTCGCCAAATTTACTGTTGCACCCTGTAGCTTATTGTAGCATTTCGTTTGTATTTGGTAATAATTGTCTAAACATTGACTAATTAGGCTCAAAACGTTCGTCTCGCAAAGTACAACTAAACTGTGTAATTAGTTTTTGATTTCGTCAATATTTAGTACTCCATGCATGTACCACAAGTTTGATGTGATGGAGAATCTTTTTTTTGCATAGTGCTAAATTTTGGATTTTGGTGGAACTAAACGTGGCCTTGAGCAGAGCAACGGTCAACGGCAATGTACCGGCAGGACGGCGACCATGGTCAATTTGGCGTCAGCGGGGGCGGAAAGGTTCCTGCGCGCGGTTCGGCGGCGTCGGCGACCTGGCTCCTCCGATCCTAGTAATAGTATCCTACTGTGCTGCTGTGTCCTACCTGTTCCGGCACGGGATTGTCACGGTATGCCACTATGCCCTGCACGAGTCACCATGTCGTGTTTAGTTCCCCGATGAAGCCGTTGCCGTTGCACACTTTTTTCACCCCGTCGGATCGCGCCTGAGCTTTGGACCGGGCTGTATCCGTGTTACATGTTTGTGTTGCACTTGCACCTAGCGCGGCCCAGTTTGAGGTTTGGCAATGACAGGAAACCAAGCTTGCTTCTGGCCCAAAGTTAGCTGGACTGCTGCTGGATCGTCATTAAACGGGAAATTTTATTCCTCCCAGAGTCCCAGTGGCATTGGCAGCTGGCACATAACTAGGTCTACTATTTTTTTTATAAAAAAAAAAGTTATTCTGGTCTCTACATGAGTTTTACACACGGCCAATCTTTTATTAAAGTTTCAGCCCGCGTCTGCCTAAGAAGCTCTCAAAAAGCTAAACCACAAAGAAAACACAAAAAGTACTATTAAGCCTTCTAGAAAACAACCACCCTTGTGTCGGTGTAGGGGGGCCTCACTTTTGAGAATCCTAGTGCATCTATATTTGTGCCAGTATCAAGCACAAATACGTACAGGAAATAAAGGAATAGGTATTATGAACATATTTAAAATAAATTCCGAGCTTTACTCACAACGAAAGCAAAGTCTTACGATAG